TTTTATTTAGTATGGGGTCTATGGGGTCTCACTACATAGATTGGACTCATAGTGGTCTTCCTATTTTCAGCCTCCCAAGCGCTGAGATTAGAAGTGTGTGCCATCACACCTAGTCTCAATTGCTGTCTCATTGTGCCCAGGGGTGGGGCCAGCAGGGCTTATGGTACTGGAGATCAAACCCTGGCTGCTGTGTTGTGCCTAAGCAGGCGCTTTAGTCTGTTGAGCTGTCTGGCTGGCCAATGTCATATATTTTATTTTCTAATTATTATTTTTTTTGGTGGAACCAGGGCTTGAACTCAGGCCCTTGCACTTGCCAGGCAAGCGCTTACTCTACTGAGCCATCTCCCTGTCCCCAAATGTCATATATTTTAAAACAAGTAATTAAGAAAGTCAGTTGAGGGCCGGGGAGATGGCTCAGTGGAATAAGCGCTTCCCTGGCAAGTGCAAGGGCCTGAGTTCAATCCCCGGTTCGACAAAAAAAAAAAAAGAAAGTCAGTTGGTAGTTGGTCATGTTTATGTAGTTCTTCCTCTGCTTGGTTGAGCTGTATGTCTTTGCTAGTACTGAATTAGTTTTGTGGTACTACAGCTTTTTAGTAGGTTTCTTTTTTCCTTCTTTTTTTTTTTTCCTGTGGCTCTGGGTATTGAACTTTGGACCTTGGGCTTACTAGGCAGGCACTTATGCTCTTGAGGTATCTCCCCAGCCTTTTTAGTAGGTCTTAAAAGGTCATGTAATATTTGTTCAACTTCATTCTTTATGAAAATTATTTTGGTTTTACAAATAAATTAAAAAATTACTTATTTATTTGGTACCGGGTCTTGCCATACAGCTCACACTTAACAGTGATCCAGGGCTGACATGGCATGCGGTATAGGGGATTGAACCCAGGTCCTTGATCTTGACTTGCTTGTCCTTGCTTACAGACTGCTGAGCTATCTCCCCAGCCCCAGTTTTTTTTTTTTTTTATATTTAAGGACTTTTATTACTCAGAGTATGATTTCTCTTGTTGAAAGTTCGTGTGTGCTTGTAGTAGGGCATCTTATAAAAGTGCGTTTTGCTCTTGGTGTTCTAGTAATCTTTGATAGTTTATACTTGTTTTTGCTACTAAAACTATTACAGTTCTTAACTATGTTTATAAATGTATATATGCTTTATGCATTTGGTACAGGGTCTCACTACGTGGCATGGACTTGTAGTGATCCTCTTGTTTTCAGCTTCCCCAGCACTGGAATTACAGGAGTGTGTTATCATGCCTGATCTCTGTGGCCCAGCTCAGTGTGCCTGCGGTTGGGGCTGGGTTGGCATATGGTGCTGGGGATCAAACCCTGGTCTCTGTGCTTGCCTGAGCAGGTGCTTAGTCTACTGAGCTATCTTGCTGGTGCTGTATTTATAAATGTATTTGTCCTTTAAGTTCTATAAATTTTTGTTGTATTTTGGAGTTCTGTTAGGTAAATATATATTTAGGAATGGTTTTTCTTCTATGTAAATTGTACTGTCTTGAATCATTCATTACTTATTAGAGAAACAAATATAATACAAGTTATATAAATATGTGAGAATTTCCAAGGCTGGCTTACAGTGGCCACCCACAGAGTCCAATGACGTATCGTGTAGAGGGCATATGCACAATTGGAGTCTGAAGAATTCATCATCCCAAGGTCTGGAGCTCACTACCGTGTCTCATGCAAGTCCATAGCAGCAGGATAATGGGTCTCCAATGGAAGTCAGGAAATGATGTCCAAAGTGAAAGTGAAGAGTGGAGTTCCTGTGAGGAAACAAACAAATCTGTCCTTCTTTCCCCTTTGTGTCATCCAGGTGACAAGCCACCGTAGGGTATGGAATTGCTGAACTGATTTGGTTAAGCTTCTCATACTCAAGTTGACACAGTCAACCATTGTACTGCTATTATGTAATGTCGACCCCCCCCCCCCCGTACCTGCTAGATATCCTTTGCTCTGATATTAATACAATCATTCTGGCTTTAGCATTTAACATCTCTGTCTTTTTACCATACTTCTACTCTTTTGGACTGGTAAGAGTTTCCTGAAGACATCATAAGAAATGAATTACTGGGGCTGGAGAGATGGCTCAGTGGTCTAAAGCACCTACTTGAAACAAGCTTGGCTAGCTTCTTCCCAGCCTCGTTGCAGCTGCTTTGCAGCCTTTTTCAGCATCCAAACAACCGCAAGCCACTGTTCCCAGGATGGTGATCCGCGTGTATATTGCATCTTCTTCTGGCTCTACGGCGATTAAGAAGAAACAGCAAGATGTGCTTGGTTTCTTAGAAGCCAACAAAATAGGATTTGAAGAAAAAGATATTGCAGCCAATGAAGAGAATCGGAAGTGGATGAGAGAAAATGTACCTGAAAACAGTCGACCAGCCACAGGGTATCCCTTGCCACCTCAGATTTTCAATGAAAGCCAGTACCCTGGGGACTATGATGCTTTTTTTGAAGCCCGAGAAAATAATGCAGTATATGCCTTTTTAGGCTTGACAGCACCACCTGGTTCAAAGGAAGCAGAAGCCCAGGCAAAGCAGCAAGCCTGAACCTTATGCATTCTGACTTAAGCATTCTGCCTTAAGCGTCTTGAAAATTGAGTCCCTATTGCTTTTATAAGTTTTCAAATAGCAAAATTATCTTGATTTCAAAAGAAATTGCTTAAAGTTAAAATAATTAAGTGGTGTTTTCATGTATCATAAAATGAATGCATAAGTAAAATATGAAC